GTAAGCAAAGAACAACAGCTCAATAAGTGACCAGATTGGGGTCAGAAATTAAAATTAAACTATGTAATGTAGTGATTCTCAGAATATGGCAGACTACTTCTTAAAACTCAAAATACCACATCTCCCCTGTTAGTCCTTTCACTGTCCTAAGTCCCCTTTATTTTGATCTGATCAGTTCAACATGTCCAGCTTCACTGTCTTGCAGTCAGCGATGCTACTTTTTCTGAGTTAAAAACAAAGCAAAACAAAACACAAAAAACCACAAACAAATCCAGAAAAAAATACCAACCACAAATAAACCCCAAGAACAACAAAAAAAACCCCAACAACAACAAAACAATGTAATTCTCTTTGTGAGACCTCTGAAAGACCATGGATGAGAAGACTACATATTATCTTTAAATTATAATGATTACAAAAATCTTGAATCTTAGTACTAGTTATCACTTTGAGCTCTGGAGAAGACTGCAATAGAAATCATGCCACAAAGTCCTCATACCAGAGCAGCTCCAAGAAGCCTCAGCTAGGTCCAGGTTGCATTTTACTGAATAACAAATGAAGAGCTGTAAGAGAGAAACCTTGCCAATAGACAGGGAGTGGCTGTATCAGACAAAAATTAGATCTGATACATTAGAAATCTGGTGCCAAATTCCCATCTCCATTCATAGTTTCCACAGCCAAAAGAACAAATGACACTCGTGGGAGAAATTCTGTCAGGAACTGCATGGAGATTATATAGCAGCCTATACTGAGCTCTCTTGCAGACCCTGGCGTAACGTCCCGCCAAGGATAAGGAATGAGGAGTGATGCTCAGCCTTCCTCTAGAAGCTGCTACTTCAGCATCCTCCTGTTTGAAACTGGAAATATTCTAGCCCTGGAAATATTACTCCAGTGCCTTTAGTATACAGAAAAGGACTGAGGAAAAGGACTCAGCCCTTAGGAAAAGGACTTGGGAGTGCTGGTGGATGAGAAGCTCAACATGAGCCGGCAATGTGCACTTGCAGCCCAGAAAGCCAACCATATCCTGGGCTGTATCAAAAGAAGTGTGGCCAGCAGGTCAAGGGAAGTGATTCTGCCCCTCTACTCTCCTCTCGTGAGACCCTACCTGGAATACTGTGTTCAGCTCTGGAGTCCCCAGCACAAGAAAGATATGGAGCTGCTGGAGCGGGTCCAGAGGAGGGCCACAAAGATGATCCAAGGGCTGGAGCACCTCTGCTATGAAGACAGGCTGAGAGAGTTGGGGCTGTTCAGCCTGGAGAAGAGAAGGCTCCGGGGTGATCTTATTGCAGCCTTCCAGTACTTAGAGGGGGCCTGCAGGAAAGCTGGAGAGGGACTTTTTACAAGGGTGTATAATGATAGAACAAGGGGCAATGGATTCAAACTGAAAGAGGGGAGATTTAGATGAGATATAAGGAAGAAATTTTTTACATTGAAGGTGGTGAGGCACTGAACAGGTTGCCCAGAGAAGTTGAGGATGCCCCATCCCTGGAAGTATTCACGGCCAGGTTGAATGAGGCTTTGGGCAACCTGGTGTAGTGGAGGATTCCTCTGCCCATGGCAGGGGGGTTGGAACTAGATGATCTTTGAGGTCCCTTCCAACCCTAAACATTCTATGATTCTATGATTCTATGATACAGAAATCTGCATTGTTGGAAGCGTACTGATGAGAGTTATAAACAGAGAGAAGTTATGATGACTTATAACCGAGACAAATGAGAAGGGACGTTCACAGAGAGATCAAGAGATAATGAACACCAAAGCGAATGTGAAGTTTTATTCCTCAATCGCAATAAACACAAGGTCTTCTCTCCAAGGAAACCCTTTTCTAACACTGGCAAACTGATCTCCTGTCCTGGGCAATCTGTTCCAGTGCCTCACCACTCTCTGAGTGAAAAATTTCTTCCTTATATCTCATCTAAATCTACCCTCTTTCAGTTTAAATCCATTGCCCCTTGTCCTATCATTATACACCCTTGTAAAAAGTCCCTCTCCAGCTTTCCTGTAGTCCCCCTTTAGGTACTGGAAGGCTGCTATAAGATCACCCCAGAGCCTTCTCTTCTCCAGGCTGAACAGCCCCAACTCTCTCAGCCTGTCTTCATCGCAGAGGTGCTTCAGCCCTCGGATCATGTTGGCGGCTCTCCTTTGGACTCGCTCCAGCAGTTCCATGTCCTTCTTGTGTTGGGGACTCCAGAGCTGAACACAGTATTCCAGGTGGGGTCTCACGAGAGCAGAGTAGAGGGGCAGAAACACCTCCCTCGACCTGCTGGGACGCTTCTTTGGATGCAGCCCAGGATACGGTTGGCTTTCTGGGCTGCAAGTGCACATTGCCGGCTCATGTTGAGCTTCTCATCGACCAGCACTCCCAAGTCCTTTTCCTCCGTGTGGCTCTCCATTCTCTGCTCAGCCTGTACTTGTGCTTGGGATTGCCCTGACCCACGTGCAGGACTTTGCACTTGGCCTTATTGAACTTCATTAGGTTCTCACAGGCCCACCTCTCCAGCCTGTCAAGGTCCCTCTGGATGGCATCCCTTCCCTCCAATGTGTGTCCTCAAGGATGAAGGAAAAGGTTGGTCCATTTTTATCGGACTTATAAAGAAAAAAAACAGCCTGAGTTAACAGGTAATCACGGGAAGCATTGGTCTAAGTGGTTGGAGTTTGGTATAATTAGAAGCCAAAGAGGGACTAATTATAAAAACTTAACAGACACATTTAACTCTGAAATAAGTACCATTGTCATCTCCTTTCACAATTAACCAAGAACCTGTAAACACAAACTGAGCAAACTTGAGTTGTCTCTGTAGATTTACTAAAACCTGCATTTTTTCACCTCGCAACAGCCACCCTGATGTGCCACTCATGACCACAGAGGTGAAAATTGCAGGACTCAGCCATCAGACTTCAATTTAAGTAGCTCCCAAGTATGTAGTTTGGTCTAGGTCCAGGAGGCTTCTTGTACCCTCCCAGAGGCTGCACAGCCCTGAGAAACATCTGTAACCCTATGAGCCACATTTCATTAGAGTGCAATTAAAAGAATTATTTGCCTTTTTAAAGTCCCGTTTCCAAGAACTGAACAACCTCGTAAGCAATTCCTCTGGAGATGAAGTAAAGAGCTATGACTGCTCAGGAGTGAACCATAGCACATAAACTCTCTACACACTCTTTTGGATGCATGTTTGCTTATGGAAGAATGGGCTGTATGTATTGGCACATAAGTACTTCTTCTGTCCTGCCTACACTGTATCAGTTCACTGAACAATTTAATTTGCAGTTTCCTCCGAAGGCATTTTCCTTGGAATTTTGGTTTTAACAATAGAAGTCTCTTGTATACATACACGACAGCTCTTTAATGATGCTAAATCAGACAAATGCCCTTTCTATGAACATAGTGCAGGAAAAATGTCCTTGAGTATCTCAGATACAAAATGCCAATAAATTGAATTTATGTCTCATTTAATCTACAATGGAACAGCTAGTACTTAAAGGGTACATACACTTCCCCTAGTCCCTTTCTTCCTGAGAAACTTTCAGATGCTGAAAATCAATTCCTTTTGTCTCCTTGTTATTCATCTGCTACACATTAAGGAGAAACTCTGGGCATTCAGTGATCCCACAATGGTCTTTCATCTCCAGAGAAGTCTGGTATGAATTAAAATCTTATGCTCCCTCAAATTATAGATGCATACTGCAGCATGCCACTGACTTATCTGCTCGTGATTGTTGCCAGCCTTCTCAGCATGCTGCAGCCAGCTCATCTGCATCTTTCAGCTTAAGTGACTCTTCTGTAACGCTGCCCATCCAGCCCATGAAAAGTGCTTTGACACTAGCGTGCACACATGTATGTCCCCACACAATAGGTACTGCTATCCACTCTTTTTACCAACTCCCTACCGTTTAGATTTTATATTAAAAAGCCGTTTTACTACAGCCAAGATCTTAGTACAAGAACAATAAATACGTCATGAAGGTAATATTCTTTCATTTCAGTGGCCTTGAAAGATTAAGATTATATACAAATAACTTTTAACTGACATCATTTCTTTTCTTGTCTGTTATTAAGGGCAGTTTTAAATTAGGACGCTGTTTTTCTGTAACGGAGGTAAAATATAATTGCTATCTAGACCGCTGCAGCACTGGTCAAACACATGCTGCTCATTCACTCCCAGCTGCCTGATAGTCGTGCCGCTGGATGTCCTGTACTGCAGCAATTCAGGGCTTCCACTCTCAGGTCTGAAAGCAAATCAGGGCTTAACATGCTTATTCTTTTCTTACTCTTTGTTGCCCTTCCAGTGTATTTCTCTCCTTTCCAAATGCTGTTTGGCCACTCCTCAACTCTCAAATATTCCCTGCAGCCAAAGCAACACATTCAAAATAAGGAAATACTTGCAAATCATAGACTCATAGAATCATAGAATGGTTAGGGTTGGAAGGGACCTCGAAGATCATCTAGTTCCAACCCCCTGCCATGGGCAGGGAAATCCTCCACTACAATCTACATTCACATTCTGTCCTACCGGAACCATCACCTCTTGCTAATCGCTTCTCCATCCAACACTTTCCCCAGACAAGCTTTCAGCCACCTTGCTCTGCAAGCTCTTAAACGAATCACTTCTTTGTTTAAATTAGATTTCAGTGTGAAATATCTTCCAGCAAGCAATCTTGTTATCTATTCAACACGGTAGCTGCAAAAGCTTTGAAATAAAGCTACTGAAAAGCCACGTTAGAACAGAAACGTGTGCACTATATGTAACCCTGAAGAGCAGTTGAAAGGTGAGACTGCGGCTCAAATTCACTTGCTATCTCAGGCTCAGATTACAACACCACCAAGAAAATTCGGAGGTCAGCATGTGCCTGAAATACGTGTCCAGAATACTGTGCAAACAGCTAACAGTGGGCACTGAACTCCGATGTCACAGGAGTGGCTGGTGCCAGTTAAAGGCAGCCCAGGTACAGCTCTGGTTTGCAGGCACAGGTGACGCCAGCCCAGCGAAGACCTTACTTACCTCGCTTGAATCCTCCTGCTGATTGATAACAGCTAGTGCATCCTCTGCAGCCTGGCGCTTGGCTTCGGCAACAGTGCGCTCCATCTTGGCTCTCTCGGAAGTGATCATGTCGTGAGCTTTCCGCTCTGCCTCCGACACCGCCTTCTGCAACTCCGCCATCGCCTGACGCTTTACTTCGTTGACAGCTTCCTCTACAAAGGAGGGAAGAAATCCTCATCAGCAAAGGAGGTACTGGCACTGGGCTACGCAGGACTGATGCAGAAACGCAACCGATACTCTATTATATGAAGAGTCTTCACTTTGAGAAGAAGCACACAGAGAAACCTCGTTCCTCAAGACTCTTCAAGACCACTCAGGTGCTTCTTTACCTCCCGTCACTGAAAGTTCTCACGAGTCTCTAACGCTTGTGATGATTCTTGTTATTTTGATTCATGGTTAGTATTTCTTTAAATATAGACATTTCAGATCTCTGGAACATTATTTTTGTAATCTTTTTCAACATTTTACTTGGAAAATTGGATACGCGGCACACCAGATTTATTAATACCTTTGGCAAGAATTATTATTTAAGACATAATATTACAGACTTTTTCAAAATGTATCTTTAAGTTCTGAAAATTAAGACAGGATTCGCAGCCATTAACATTTTTCCCTGTATGTTAATGAATAAATATATGATGGTAAGAAACCTCTAGGAGTTTATTTTAAAAATTTAAATTATTGGTCAAATATCTTTTCCTGGACATCTAATTTTATGAGCCAAAATTAAAATTTGTTTATGAACATTCATTTGACCTCTTGATCTCTCCATCAAACCCATGTTTACACTGTGAAGACTCGACTTCCTGGCTCTGTCGAGCTCTTGAGCACACCACAGCCAGCAAGTGCACAATTAACACTGGGCAGGGGCACCCCGCTCCACTAAATTCAAACCTTCATGCTGCTTGTAAAGTAACTGAGCCAGCAGGAGCCATTTCTTCAGTATATTCTAGCATCCCATCTTTTATTCCAGAAAACATGGATCGTCACAAATTACTTATTTGGGTTTTGATGCAGGAAGAGTGCAAAGATTCTACTAATGAACAGTCTTTTAATTGACAACTAAAACAAGTAATTTCTTTTTTTTTTTTTAATTAACTGCTCTAATTAACAAGGAAACCATCCTCCCCCTGAATTAGTTTATCTAATTTTCATCTTTATTCAAAGCAAAATGACAATGATTAATTGAAAATTTAATAAGCAGTAATTATTAACTTGGCAAACCTAGTACCAATTAACACTCTATTAAAACTAATTATGACATGTTTCATTCAAGTGTTTGCACTTAATTGTTTCATCCACTTAAAAACCACCCTAATTAAATGTTCTGTTTAATTAAAAACGTGGATTTCAAATAAAAATGTTTTACTGTAGATTAAAATCTAAGTATTACAACCATGTTATGGCTTTTAGTTTGAGTCCATGTATTTAGTCCACCTATTTGTGTGCATGCACATAGACCCAACTGTTACATACAGATACTAAGTCAATAACTCTCTTGAGTTTTTATGTCTCATAGCTCTGCATTGTTATTTAAAAAAATAATGACACGAAGTCTCCATTTTCAGTTATTAAGCAAATTACAAAAAAGTCTTTAACTTTAAGCCATGTAGTGAGTGAAACTGAATTAATCAAAATGAAAGAAGATTTCTGTTACTCTGTGTGTGTGTTATGTGTGTGTGTGTGTGTCTGCGAGAGATGTTTCAACTCAAGTTTTTGAGGGAGGGGAATTTAGAGATAAAACTTATGCCTTATTTTTATGAGGCTGAAAATATGCCCTTATATTACCCTACCATAAATGTTGTTTAGGGGAAAGCCTCAGGAGAGGAAAAAATCATACCCTTCAACCACACAGCCAAGGCTTAATTTACTTTGAATATTCAAGGTGAATTAAAATTCTATCTAAGTGGCAATACAGGACAATAATTTTTGCTTACGATCAAAGCTGCAGCTAGACTAATTGTATATGCAAATCAAGCAATTTATATTTAAATTATGCATTCCTATTCTAGTCCCACAGGCACACACAGATCAGCAAAGGGAATTGGTAGGACATTTGCAAGGTGCTTGAATATTTATTACCAACTGCAAACATTCACTGATCGTGAGAAAAGAAATATACACAGGCAAACATACAGATGCAATTTTATTACCATTTTCATAAAAATGAGGCAACTTAAATACAGACGTTTTGTGTCTATGAACTGCCATTATTAACAAAGTGAATTTCTTTGAGAAAATCTGTATTCTTGCTGATATTTGTTACGAATAGAACCGATCTTTGTACGGCATGATGCACTTTCATTACGTTATATAAAATTACTTTTATGTTGACTTGCTTGCAGTGGTTAGAAATGCCAGTTTAAACTATTATATTAAACAGAAGCATAATACTCCATCATTTTACAGAGACTTCTAATTTTATAGTTTTTCATCCCACATGATCTAATTCTTTTCAGTCCAAATATAGAAATTGAACTTTATATTCTAACTTCTATATTACTTAATCTTTTTTGCAAAGCTTCTGAGAGTGTGAAGATGCTAAAAGTGCTTACAAGGCCATATGCCTGACTGATACCTTTTAAAGGGCATAAACTATGGATTGGGCTTTAGTATCTCCATTACCTTTGACAACAGAATTTGCGTTGTGCTATACTAAGCATGAAAACAGATAGTTAAAATATGTCAGGTTTTTTGATCACAATGCACCACCATTATTTCCACACATTATGAACTCATGAACACCCAAATAAACAATACAAAATTTCCTGTCACTTATTTTCTGCACGTCTTCTTAAAATAAGTGTTTCCAGTATCTTCAGATATTTTATAGACATAGAACGTAGGCTTCATAGTTTCAGGTAACAATAAAAAATGCAGTATCTGTGCAGGAAAAATTACAAGTGACGGTGAAGGAGATTTTATTTGTCTTGACAGTGCTGAGCCATGAAGATCAGGCAGGATACTAGCACTCTTCCTTTCTCTGCTTTTCCAGAGAAAGGAAGAGTGATTAGATTCCAGTATTGGAAAACACGGATCTGGAAGTTTTTAAAACCAAGTACCTAAGATGCATGTATCTGCATCCTCCATCTTCCCACTAATGCTAAGTATTTTTTCTTTTTAGGAATGCAATCGAAATCTTCCTCCCCTTTTGAGTAGTGCTAAGTCATGAGAGAAGCTCCTGGGAGCCAACAGCCTGTGTGGAATAGGTATTACTCAGCGTGATCAGAGGTCCTTGGAACTGACTCAAGAAAGATACTCGTCATTCACTGCTGTACATAACCTGACACGATGACTCATCAGCCAGCTCCTGGTCACCTCCCTCACATCATGGGCACACTCAGTCCACATGATGAGAAAAGAAAGGTGGTGGGCAGGGGTGCAGTCCTATGCCACCATGAACATTTGCATCATCTCACTCTCAAGCTGACCCTGGCAAAGGTGGCCACTGAGAGTCGGTGACATATCTCAGCTTCATAGCGCAAAATGCACCATCTCTTTCTCAGGACTACCCTGGAGAATGTGCAGAGGCCTTATTGTCTTTGTGTGATCAAGTATGGTCATTCCACACCTGTTTGGTAACTCCAGAGCTTCCATCTGGACTGCCATGAACAGTAGGCCTTGCTAAGTGACAGGAGATGGCTGGAAGACAGTCTCTTCGTGACACAGAAGGAAGCTAAGGCACCAGATCACAGTAGGCATGGGATCCTCTCAGTATTTAATAAAGAGAGGTCAGTTATTTTCAGAGAGCAAATCATCCCACCAATGATCTGATTGATCATCTTCATGTGCCTGCTTCTCTCTTGGCTATTGGGGGACACTAAGAACTTGGCTCGGACTCTTCATCTGCATACGCATCATTCAATGAGATTAATCAAGACACTGATGTCCCCTTTCCACTGCTGTATGAAATGCAATAGGGTTCACAAGGTGCTGCATACTATGTGCTTGCCCCAACAATCAGAGTCTCTAAAAGTTTAAAGTCAATCCCTTTGTCACATGCTTTTAAGGTTGCTTATTAACCGTTTTTTTTAGCCAAATTCTTTCAGTTCAATGGATTCAGCATCCCAACCAGACTTTTATACTTGAGTCAGCTGTCTACACACTGGTCTTCACAGACATTTGAGATACCAAGATATCTACACTGAGCCAACAGAAATGACTTGTGAGAGATTTGCAGCCTTCTTGACTAGCAGTTGCAGCCCAGCCAGGAAAGTACAGAGCATCTCAAATGGCACTAGAGACCTATTCTTACAGAGCTCAATTGCACCTTTACAGCCTTGAATTGGTTACAAAATGGAGATCTCCAACTTCAGTGCACGCTCCTGAAAATGAATGCCCATGATTTATGAAGAGCAGTATGCTTTCTGAAGTTTTACTACAGTTAGTAACAGATACAGGTATGCATCCTGTAGAAAGTCAGACTTTTTTTATTCTTCAGTTCACAGGCCTGTTCAGTTAATACAGGGAATCTGATTTAAACCCACATCAGCATGAAAATAGAGACTAGAAATGGGACCAAAGGAAACTGATGACATTTATGTACACAAGAGGACATGTCACAGCTCCTTTACACTACCCTTTGTGCATCTATGCAATGTGAATGCACATCCAATTTTATAACTCAGGCCAAAAGTTTCAATTAACTTGTATTGATAGCTTATGAAGAAACTTTTTTTGTTCTGTTGTACTGCATCTAGGAGTCATAAATAACCCAATATGCCTAACAGCATCAACGCTTAGATTTTGCAAGAAGAATCAATCAAGTTCCTGAAACTCCACTGAACAATGCTCCTCTCGATGAGATTTCCTGGGACTGCATATTTTTTCTTATTTTTCATTTAAGATGTTAACACAAATACGGCAAAATAAACTATAAAAACACTTCGGGGCATTTAGTTACGTAGGCTACACTTTCCTTAAAGGAGACAAAAGAAAAATATGTAGATTATTTTGTTATTTTTTCATAGAAAATGCAACGGTTCCAAAAATACTAATTAACATATTGACAAAGGTAGACTTTACATGATAAACCCACATCACACAAACAACACAACCTTCTGTCTGATGTAATGATATGCCAGCGTAACATTTTTACACGTATGTTCTGTACCTAGTTTAAAATACACCAAAAGGTAGCGAGCATTCAGAGAAGATTTGATCAGAAATCATCAAAAACTGCTGCATATTTGCCATTTAATCATTAACTCCTCCTCAGACAGCTTCAGCAGACTTCATGGTTATACAGGTGTTCAAAAGGGGAGGGGGGTGCTGATGTATAAGTGTATATATATAGAAGCTCAACTACCTCGCTGGAGTTCAAGAGCTACCTCCTGGCCCCTCTGAAAACAAGGAAGCTCTGATATTGATATGGAAAGAGCAAAGGCTTAGCTCCAGCACTGCAGTAAGATCCTTGCCAGGAAACTCCCATGCTCAGGCAGAGTTTTAAAGTGTTGAAGAAAACTCTGAACAATCATTACATCTGCCCTTGGTGCTTTTCAAGCCTGGGGAAGATGCTGTCAATGCCCGTGCAACCACTCAGAGCAGCTGCTGAGATGAGATCTTGCTTAATTCATTGAAAACTTTGCAAGTTTATGAGCACAGACTTCACTGGGGGCTGATAGGCACAAAAATCTTTTTAAAATTAAGAAAGGTTACATTGCGTTGCTAGAGGTTTTTGTTTAACAGGTATACTTAGGGGTTTTTTCCTCCTTTGGGAATTCTGACCTTGACTAGGTAAGAAACTTGAAGCTTAAAAAAAAATCCCACACAAACTTTTTTTTTTTTTAAATTGCTAACAGACTGAAACTTCACTATATCAAGTTTCAGCCTGAAACCATTACAACCCCAGAAAATAGGGGTCCTTAATGGAAGTACTGATATCCTCCTAACTATAGCAGCAGATGCTTTTATTATAAAGATTATTTCATGTCCTGATCAGTTCCAGTTCAAGATTATTAAACACAATTTCTTCTTGTTACTAGTAAGACCTGTTGGTTTTTTTTCTCCCTTTTTCATTCCTCACATCAGTGCATTAACAACTGCACACAGCTGCCAGAAGACTAAGCTGGTGTTTTTAAACAGTTCTTACCAGCTTTCTTCCAGATCTCCTCTGGCACGTATCCAGACGCAGGCCTGTGAAGGAATTCCCGATGAGATTCTGCAGGAGGAGGGGGTGTGGAGGGAAAAAGAAAGAACATCATAAGCAATGCTTGCTTCTTGAACAAGGCTTAGAGAAGTACTTTTCCTTTACTCAGACAAAAAAAAAAAAAAACAATCACAGGAAGTTTTTTCTTACACAAAATAAAATGGGTGCCGTGGCCGTAGCTCATAAACGTCACATAGACCAGACCAATGTTTAGGACTGGAATGTCTCATCTTAAGCCAAGCTGAGACTAGTTCGCTTCATTTTTATTTTACAGCGTTTCAAGTCAACTCTATATGACAGTTTCCACGCTTTTAAGGCTGGCTTTGCGAGACCAGCTGAGGGAGTGACGTGCTGCATCCTTTGTCATTATGTTTATGAAAAGGAAGAAGAAAGAGGGCAACAGCCCACGCTTGGCACTTGTGCTCTGTGAAAACAGAATGGCTACTGAGGAGCGGAGATAAAAGCCAAATGTCATTCCAGTGATCAAATAAGCTGTCCACAGGAAAAATAAAGGGGTGTTTCTCTATGTTCAGAGCTACGCTTTCTGATATCTGAGCCCTTGTTGGCAACTGTAGCTGCATGAGTTTGAAAAACAGAACCTTTAACTTTAGGTTAAGCCCCTAAATACGTATGCTGCCAAACAACCTCAGTGGAGCTGAAGCTCGTAATTCACCCATATATTTCAATCACATTTTGACAGCTCTTTCCCCTCTCCTCCTTTATTTAAAGGGTTTAACCTCTGGGCCTGAGCCTAAGAGCTCTGACATCAGCAAGATCCCTTCCACACTGACTTCAAAGACACAAGATCAGACAATACAGAACAAAAATTCACTTTGCCCTGGAATTTAGCATACAGATTCTCAGCAGATGAAAAGCTGCTCTTTTCCAATACAATTTAAAAACTGAATGAGTATTTTTCAAACTAATAGAGGAGAAATTAAAAAAGAGAAAAAAAAACATAAAGGTAAGTTCATTGCCATGATTACTATTGCCCGTGCGACAGAATTCAATCGTCAAAATAACTCGATTTATTATGTTAGAGATAAGGTTTGCATCTTTTTAGAGATGTTGCTAGAAATTAAACATGCTGTTTGATGTCTGAGTTTGAAACATAAAAGAACACATGCTGCTCTTTGAATGCTAATTTTTACTAATTTTTTTTTTTTTTTATCTTAAAGGTACTATTCGCTAACTTGGTCAAAAAGCAATGTTTTTAAGAAAAAGGTTGAAACGTTAGGTTTTGCAAATCATCTTTCACACCACCATACCTATGCATGCAGTGCTGTTTATATACAGTAGGCTACGGAAACTTAAATACATTTAAAAGATGATGTTTAATATTGCAGACAGCTAACAAAGGTGGAAACGACAGGGGCCGTTTCAGCTACGCAGAGCGGGGAATCCCAGTCCCTGCACACTGTTCCACAGATGCCGTTTCTAGCACATGGAATCTGCAGACGCCGATGGGGTGGACTGCATCTTCCCATCTGACAGGCAGCTGAGTGGATTTCCCCCAGCTCTTCTGTTTGTCGCTGAAGTACGGGACGAAAATAAACTGGATTTTTGTAGGCAGAATTTCACACCTCTCGAGCATAAAATGATGGGTATGTGTATGTAAATGTGTGTGCAGGATTCTGCAAAACAGCTAGCTATTTACATGGGTTTATCAACATGACAGAGGACTTCAGACCTGATGCTGAAAATGGGAAAATTCTCAGTATCACTTGGCTCACACGATTCTGGAGACAACAAGTATTATTGTGTACACTTCTCTCATCCCCTTACGGGCACAGTGCCAGTTCAGAGACAGAGGCAGCAGCAGAAAACATTATTTGAAAGCTCAGGAAAACTAAAGGCGAAAAATTAAAACTCTCTTATGTGCTCTTCCTGCAATACTAGCAGGAAAAGAACCAACCAGGCTCCAAACATGGCAAAACAAGGGAATTGTTGCATTCATGCCTTGTATTTTGTGTTGAGTTTTCCTGTCTGCTATTTAAAGTACTATCCACTGCAAGAGGATCATAAGCTTGATTTGAGCCCATTACCATGGTACTTAATATTAAAAATAAAGAGATGTGGAGCTGATTTTTGGTACATATGACTTTCCAAAAATGGAATTGAATGACACAAATGACCAGATTGCCAGCTAATTGTTAAAATTTCCAAAACATAAACATCAATCAAGCTCTTATTCCAACCACAAATTATTTACATGAGGAATGAGATCCTCTGCAAGAAGAATTAAATCAAGAGTCTGAGAGAGACTTTCCCATAGTTTGGAATGGCGTACAAAAAAAGACAAGAAGCACTTATGAAGATAATAAAAAACACATTTTCCAAGCAAGAAAAAGATTATGAACATGGCTATTTTTTAGTCAGTGGTGATGAGTCCATGAAAACAATCCTCTTTTGGGGACTAAACTACAGGATGTGACCAGAGGATATAAGTCTTTTATTACTATGATTTTTAAGGTAAGGTGTCCTTCAGATTAAGAATCACAGAACTTGCTCACCAGAACTAAAACACAAAAGATCTTAACTTCGAAGTCTAGCAAACTCAAACCAAAAGTAATACAGTTGAGTGAAGTTCCCAAAACACTAAATGAAAAATCAACTGCAAAAAGCCATAACGAGGAATGCACTATATTAATTGACTGACTGCAGCACCTACAAGTCAAAGTAATTTGGCTGAAGGGAAATCAGACGAAATTAGGAATAACCTGAAAAGACAAGGCAGCTCACACAGAAAAGTGTAACAGAAAAGACGTTACACGTCAGGAATAATACAAAGGTTTGTCAATGGTGAAAATACAACAATGTTGTTATGCAGAACAATGGGATGTACACTACTGACTTTACTTGAAATTCATGGCAAAACATGGTTTGAGAGCACTTGTTTCAGTTCCTACTGAACCAGATGAAAAAGCCCAAGAAGGAAAATAAAAAGCACTTATACATGGGAGTAATCAGTACTTGTCTGTGAAGAGTTTAAATGAAGTAAAAACAAAACAGATTTTGAAAGCAAAAACTTTTTTTTTTTAATATTCTATTTTAATGTGAAATAAACTTTTCAGCAACAAAGTTGTTGAACTGAGACATAAGAACAAGACACAAATACTGGTCTCAGTTGCAGCTCTCGCATTCTATTGAACAGCAGGGAACAACGTAATACATTATTTTGTAAAATATATAGAAAAAGTAATATTTTTAGTCTATCCGGGATAGTACTTTTAATAAGAAAGAAAACATTCGCTAAAAAAAAATCCTATTGTCACAATATGGTGCTGGGTTCCATATGGGCCCTGGTGTATTTACTTCAAAAATGCATCCGACCATAAGAATCATTGAGAGTGAATTGATCAACCAGGTTTCTGGAGTTTAATGCAGACGGCTTATTTTTGGTAGTTTTAAGATAAAGAGAATAGGTGCCGAAAGTACGGAAAGATGTGGAGAGCTGTAAGAGTAGAAATAAACACAGGTCTGGGAAGTGAAACTGAGACAAAAATCTAGGAGGTCAACAAATAAAGGAGGCCAACTCTTACATGATAATAAGGATCAAACCCAAGAAAAACAAGTAGAAAGACTTAAAAGATATGTTCAAAATTGTCAAAACGCCTAATCCATATTTGGAAAGAAGGAAGAGAAGATAGGATGAAAATACAAAAGAATGGAGGTTTTTATCACCGGACAACGACATCCAAGCCTACAATAAGAAAATATTAAGAAACGGAGATGAACAGCTGATCTTTTGAGGATCTTTTAGAATCTGTTGTATTTATGAAATAGTGGCAGTAATAACAATACCCTATATGCCATAGTGAACATCAGGGCTCAAAAATAATAAAAGCTGCATATAACCAGCCCTGAACTATAGATTATTTCACATATGAAATTTACACACTTTACATATTTCATATGTAAGTTTTTCTTCATTCTACCCTATAATAACACCAATGGGGAGACACAGACAACAAACAAAAAACTTCTCAGAACAACAAATAAGAAATATTCACTGCTTTCTTTGTAAGACTCAAGCTCAAAAGTGTGCCATTCAACTTCATGTAATATATAGATACAAATCTGAAGACGTGTAATACTGAATGAGTCTAACTTTCTAACTGTGTTGGGGGGCATGAGTTTCAAGTATTTTTACATACATCCTTGCCCTTCTTTGCCCTCTAATACATTTTTGTGGATATTACAACACTCCTTGAACATATGTGAAATTGCATTAAAAATACAGTTTTGTTCTCCTTCAAAAAGAATAAGAAAAGGAAAACCACACAGGTACTGTATTACTGAATCATCCTCAACCAAGATCAAACTTCCAATAACTAGCAGCAAGACATTTTCTCTCTTTTATGCCACCTACGAGTTATATTGCAATGCACGACAGTAATAAGGGTGGTGTAAGGAATGGATAAAAGTGACTCTAGTCCCAAGGAGGTCAGAAATAAATACTGAGAATACAAATGTGCAATGTTTCTGTAGCTGTAGCCCTATCTAACAGCATGCAATTCAGTACACCACAATCCAGCCCAAACCTCCTGTGCAGTGAGCGGATTAAGAGCCCTACTTAATATCATCAGTGACCAGTATTACCAAGGCTTTACATTCTAGAATTACAAGTTATAAAAGTTACTGTGGTATTCACAGCATTCCCGTTAGCTCATGTTGAGAATATCATGCATATCACAGCAATGCTGATTATCTGCAAATGGCAAAAGAAAGATTTTATAA